TAAATGCATTTTTATTTATTTAATATAGGTATAATTGAAAATTTATACAAACTTTGTTTTCCATTCATACTCAAAATAAACATGGAAAATGAAATAAAGTGATATCCCCCGATTACTTTCCTAGCATTACCAAACGTAGGAAAGGAATATTCCATTTCTCATCCCTTCGGATATAATATGGGAAATGATTTCCCATAAATTCATTCCATGAACCAAACAGGGCTTTAAGCATAAACCAATACCAACAACAACCTAGCTTTGATACCATTTGCTATGTACAAACACTCGAAGACCTTGTCATTGATGGACTACACAACTATCACATACAAGCCACACAAAGATAAATCACACACAAGAACCGAAAAGTAAGCACACAAAAAACACATGAATTTATAGAGGTTTGGCAGTGTACCTGCGTCTTGTCCAGTGATCCTCGAAAAATTCACTAGTATGAAGTACCCCCTTGCTCTCTCACAAACCCTAGCTCTCTTTTCTCTCACCCTTGGCTCATACCCAATTTGAAGCCCTTTGATTCTCATGTTATCAAAACCTAACACTAAAGTGCCTAATTATAGACCATAGGACTTTAGTATAAGTATACAATGAATAGGAAATATAAAAAATGTGTGAATTTACTATATTATCCTCATTTAATTAATAATTTCAATTCTTAATGTTTACATTAACCAATGACATTTTCTGGTATTTTGAATGTTTTACCTTATCTGTCTTTTACTTTATATATATATATATATATATACGAAATAATGGAAGAGGTTTGAGCTTGAAATTTGAAAGCAGAGAGGTCGTAAAAAAGGGGAATGGTATAAGTAAAAAAAACAAAATCACACGTCTTAATTCGATAAATTTCTTAACAATAGGGGAGACTTATAAATAAACCCAAAACGAGTGAAGTATTTATAAAAAATGACAAAATTAAAGTGTTTGGACAATAATGCCCTTATTCATTTCTAAATTTCCTAGGGGATCCTCTAGCCGTATGAAACTGAAATATTTATTCTTTTCATATGTTGCTTTGTACTGCTGTATGGAGCCAAAAAATTTGGCGGCTGTTCAGCTGGGATGATTTCTTCATGTGAGTTGAGGCTGATGATGCTTCTACTATCATTTATGCTTCCAACATGTTATCTACATTGTGTAGCTCTTCTTCTCCCATGTTGTTCCAGTATGTGTTGTCATTGTCTTCTGCTGTAATTTGTTATGTTATTTGGTTATAGATTTCATCAAAAACTTTTGCTCATGTCGTGCTGATCCTGTATTTATATATGTCATCTGGTCTCCTGGATGTGGATTCTGAATACACCTTGATAAACTTGGATTGGTACAAGAGGGTCAGATGATCATCGTTGAATAGATGTTGCTCGGCTATTATTGCTCCTTTATATTGTTAGATGTCTTGCTTAGTAGGCATTCTTGTTTGTGCTGATTCTCTCAGACTAAGTAATTCATTAAAGGAAATAATAATTCTATGTTGTGCTAAATGTGGGTAATTGTCATCTTCAAACCACTCTACTAGTGAAATCTAATTTTACATGTTTCCAGAGAGGCAGATAAAAACTTATAATTCCTCTAAATTTTGGGGAGAATGAATCTAAATGCTCGCCTTTTTCAATATAAACTTTTTCAAGCGGGTCTCGATCAAGGTTTTCTAAAGGCCAAAATAACAACCAGACACCATGCTTAAAACATGAAACTAGAACATGGAACTGCAAAGATGCTAACTTAAATGCCTAAGGAGCAGAACTCAGAGGTCCTCTGAACTCAGAGGTTTCTTGACAGACATTCAATTATTGTTAAGGCAAATATCAAACATGACCAAGTGCTCAAACAAAGTATTGATCGTCAGTTTAACAAGATAATAACATTATTATGAACAATGTTTCCCTGTTTTGGACAAGAAGTCTACTAAGAAAACCAAAAATAAAAGAGAAAAAGACTTACTTAATTGCTTATGTTGCTGGAACTACTATTATCACCGGGTTTTAACAGTGGTTGGAGATATTAACAGTGATCGACAGTATTGACGTTATTAACAGTGGTCGGAGTAAGAGAAAAATAAGAGAAAGTATATGAATAAATGGAGTTTTATTGATTAAAGCTGAAGGAGGAAGTACTGAGATTTTTTCTTCTCTGGTATTTCTGTACTTCTTTCTTCGGAGTTACAAACTATATACATAATTTACACCGACTTCTACCATGGCTAAGGATGAGAAGAAGAGTTCTTCTCTATCTGATACTCTCTATCTCTCTCTCTCTCTATCTGATACTATCTTTCTGAAGTTTCATATGAACTTCACATGCACACCGATGACAAACAAACAATTCTACACTAAGACAACATGCACTTTGAAATATGTATAAAGAAACAAAAGATTGTATCTGCCACTGTCATTGCGCAGTAATAATAGTCTGACATATGCAAAGTCTCCACATGGCCTGCTTGCTTGAAGACAAAATCTTCACATGTTGATGGCGGATGAAAGGGCTGCAGGACTTGCATGTCTCTAAAGCTAAAGATAATGGGCTCTTTTGCCATTTTGAAAATTTTTTGGGTGTTTTTGAGAGCTGGCTACTTCTTTTGAGTTTTTTCCTAAATTTCGCTAACAATTGACGGTGAAATATCAGCTTTTATATAAAATATTAATTTTTTAATATTAAAATTGTTTATTTGTAGTCTGTTTTTGAATAATACGTAAAAATACAGATAAAATATGCTATAATATTATTGCAAAATATTCAGAAAAACAATGTGTGTTATTCGTAAAAATATGTAAGCACATGTACAATATGCAAATAATATGTTGACTTAAAAAAAACGTATACTTTTCCTTATCTTGAGAAGTGTACAGAAAATAAAATTATTTTCAAAAATACCTACATACGTGTATAAATACTAAAATTACTAACCCGGTTGCAAACGCATATGCACATGTCCAATGATGTTGTAAACTGACGCGAAAAAACTAAGGAAGTATGAATTTATTATTATTATTTTATCTATTTATCAGTATTCGAACTTGAAACATACTCAGACATTTGGAAAAAACAAAAACTACCAAACAAATCAAGAACTAATTGGTGATATCATTTACTTTCAATAAACCATACGAGGAGTGAAAATGATGAAATATTAAAGACGCATTATTAGAACAAGTAACTTTATATACTATAGGCTTAAACAAGTGAACAAACTTGTAAACTACAGACAGCCAGGAAGCTAACCCTTACTCTGTTTTGTTACAAGAAAGTTTATAGTTAAAAAAGATCCAATCTAATAAAACAGCTCACAGCTTCGTCACTAGGAGATCAACTCCATGCTCTGGCTCCACAACCAATCTAAGAGCCGGTCCATATTTGTACTTGGGAGAAAGTGAGAAGGAGAAGTTGGAGACTATGAGGGCTAGGAGAACCTTGAGCTCAACCATGGCCAAGTTCTGTCCAAGACACACTCTTGGTCCAACCCCAAATGGCATGTACAAGTGGGGAAGCGTGCAAGCACCTGTGATCCCATTTGCAAACCTATCTGGGTTGAATTCGTAGGCATCTGGACCCCATATTTCTGGATCAGTGTGCAGTGTCACTACTGTGGTCCAAACATTGAAACCCTTTGGAACATTTATGTCCCCAAATTTCATATCCTTGAAAGCCTCCCTTGACACCACAGTAACTGGTGGATATAGCCGCAGTGATTCTTGAATCACCATTGTTAGCTGCACACATTCAACAATAGTCAAGTTTTTATGTTAATTAACTGATATTTTCTACCTGTGAAAGTAAGTCCAAACATGTAAAATATTCACCATTGTTAGACTAAATATATCATGTTGTTAGATTGTAAATTAATCAGGGAAAAGATTTTCATGTCAGATTGTTTGACAACCTAAACTTATTATGTTGCTAGACTGCAAGTTGCTCTAGAGCGAAAACATGATGGAAGATGAGACGTGTTTTAACGGTTTCTTTTGACAGACACTTCTTGTTTTCTGTCATGTTTTCCCTCCCTACACTTAATGACGAGCCAATTCACAACAATATATAGGAGGATAGTTACTCTTATATCTTAAATTCTTCAATGGTGTAAAAATATATACCTGTTTCATCTTGCGAACCATTTCATTATCAGGTATCTGGCCTTGGCAAATTTGAAGGACCTCTGCCCTGACACGTTCTTGCCATTTTTGATTTGAAGCCAACAACATGAGGCACCAAGTGGCTGAAACCGCTGTGGTTTCATAGCCGGCCAAGTAAATGTTCTTGCAATTATCAACAATGAAGCGGTCTGTTGCTTCTGGGCTGAGGTCAGTGTTTCGAGCACCCTCAAGAATCATTTGCAAGAGGTCTTTCTCATATCCTGCTGCTTGTCTTTCCTTGACTACTTGCAGGATCAAAGTGCTAGCCTCCTTTTCTAATGCCCAAGCTTCCCTGTTGCTCTTCGTGGGAAGGTGTCTGCAACAATATATTATAGCAATTAACTATAAGATTGTGGGGAGCTATATGTACCACATTTATTGACCATATATTTCACAGTACCTATAGGCGAAACTACTTTCAAGTGGAAAATGAGAAAGAAAAAAATTAGTCGTTTGCATTGCATACACTCTCTCTATTAGAGTGCCAAAGTCTCTACCCTAATTTTCTCCAATTTTAGTTGTTTGGTCATGAATTTATGTAAGAAAACCTTAAGCCCCAATTGTGAGTATAAGGTACCTCATTCCAGGAACTCCAGTCAAAAAGATTTTCTTGGACATAGCCTCCTGGAGATTTCTTAGTTTCTGAAATATCTCTTCCCCCTTGGAGTAGTTGCTTCCAAAACAAGCTCTTGAGATTACATCACCAGAGAAACTTCTTATGTAGCTGTCAATTTTTATGTCGGCAACTCCTCCCTCTGCCTCAATCCTACTGTTCCATGAATTTATCAGAGTAGCTGTTGACTCTGTAATTAAGTTGATCATTCCCTGCAAGATTTACCATAGTTGCAATCACAACAATTCTTGGCACCATTTGCTATGAATTATATAGTAATATCCATGCTCTGGCTCCACAACCAATCTAAGAGCCGGTCCATATTTGTACTTGGGAGAAAGTGAGAAGGAGAAGTTGGAGACTATGAGGGCTAGGAGAACCTTGAGCTCAACCATGGCCAAGTTCTGTCCAAGACACACTCTTGGTCCAACCCCAAATGGCATGTACAAGTGGGGAAGCGTGCAAGCACCTGTGATCCCATTTGCAAACCTATCTGGGTTGAATTCGTAGGCATCTGGGCCCCATATTTCTGGATCAGTGTGCAGTGTCACTACTGTGGTCCAAACATTGAAACCCTTTGGAACATTTATGTCCCCAAATTTCATATCCTTGAAAGCCTCCCTTGACACCACAGTAACTGGTGGATATAGCCGCAGTGATTCTTGAATCACCATTGTTAGCTGCACACATTCAACAATAGTCAAGTTTTTATGTTAATTAACTGATATTTTCTACCTGTGAAAGTAAGTCCAAACATGTAAAATATTCACCATTGTTAGACTAAATATATCATGTTGTTAGATTGTAAATTAATCAGGGAAAAGATTTTCATGTCAGATTGTTTGACAACCTAAACTTATTATGTTGCTAGACTGCAAGTTGCTCTAGAGCGAAAACATGATGGAAGATGAGACGTGTTTTAACGGTTTCTTTTGACAGACACTTCTTGTTTTCTGTCATGTTTTCCCTCCCTACACTTAATGACGAGCCAATTCACAACAATATATAGGAGGATAGTTACTCTTATATCTTAAATTCTTCAATGGTGTAAAAATATATACCTGTTTCATCTTGCGAACCATTTCATTATCAGGTATCTGGCCTTGGCAAATTTGAAGGACCTCTGCCCTGACACGTTCTTGCCATTTTTGATTTGAAGCCAACAACATGAGGCACCAAGTGGCTGAAACCGCTGTGGTTTCATAGCCGGCCAAGTAAATGTTCTTGCAATTATCAACAATGAAGCGGTCTGTTGCTTCTGGGCTGAGGTCAGTGTTTCGAGCACCCTCAAGAATCATTTGCAAGAGGTCTTTCTCATATCCTGCTGCTTGTCTTTCCTTGACTACTTGCAGGATCAAAGTGCTAGCCTCCTTTTCTAATGCCCAAGCTTCCCTGTTGCTCTTCGTGGGAAGGTGTCTGCAACAATATATTATAGCAATTAACTATAAGATTGTGGGGAGCTATATGTACCACATTTATTGACCATATATTTCACAGTACCTATAGGCGAAACTACTTTCAAGTGGAAAATGAGAAAGAAAAAAATTAGTCGTTTGCATTGCATACACTCTCTCTATTAGAGTGCCAAAGTCTCTACCCTAATTTTCTCCAATTTTAGTTGTTTGGTCATGAATTTATGTAAGAAAACCTTAAGCCCCAATTGTGAGTATAAGGTACCTCATTCCAGGAACTCCAGTCAAAAAGATTTTCTTGGACATAGCCTCCTGGAGATTTCTTAGTTTCTGAAATATCTCTTCCCCCTTGGAGTAGTTGCTTCCAAAACAAGCTCTTGAGATTACATCACCAGAGAAACTTCTTATGTAGCTGTCAATTTTTATGTCGGCAACTCCTCCCTCTGCCTCAATCCTACTGTTCCATGAATTTATCAGAGTAGCTGTTGACTCTGTAATTAAGTTGATCATTCCCTGCAAGATTTACCATGGTTGCAATCACAACAATTCTTGGCACCATTTGCTATGAATTATATAGTAATATACAAATCAAACCTTCTCTAAACATGACATCCATTGTTTATTCAAAAAAGGTTGTCAATATGATATAAAGATGTGAATATCATTATTCATAATCTCTCAATATTAAAACATACTATCCACAATATCAATACAAAATACATACCTTAACTTTCTCCATGTATAGTTCAGGAGCAATGATTTTACGCTGGTGGGCCCATGAGGCGCCATTTGAGGTCAAAATACCTTGACCAAGTAAAGGGCCGCGCTCTTTATATTGATAAGTAGGCTTCCCCAAGTCCAAGGACGTGCATGTTGTAATCTCCCTCACTGCGTCTGGTTGATTCGCATATAATATCTGTGTGTTGCCAAGTGCAAACACAAACACTTCACCTGCAGATAACCTAATTATTTAGTACAAACAATAAATAAATTAAGACTCACTGAAAATACTAGCATTTTTTTTTGAGTTTTCGTACTCATTTTTTTATTATGAATT